GACGGAAAAATGTGTTGTGAAGGAATGCCTACCCAGCAATGCCAGTTCTTCATTAACAAGTTCTGGCTTGTGTGCCTCCACAGACCAGCAAAACAGAAGGAGGAGAGACATGGTCTTTTAAATAATTTGGATTCCATCTGCCTGCTGCATTAGAGGTTGTGATTCACCCAGAACCGTGTGTTGTCAGTACTGTCCACAGCACACAAGGGTTATATGTTAATAAATGAGACAGTCTGCCATGTTTTGGGCTAACTGCGTTTTCCACTGATGCAAAAATGAGGCTACATGTGTCAGGGCTTTACAATAATATGCCACACAGTTAAAAAAATGTGGGATTTTGGCAGATGTTTTGTGGAAGCGGAAACGTGATTCACACTTGGTGCACCAGGCATAGTTGTAAAAGTACACTTTATCATATTTGAACCTAAATATTGTGTAGCAGCCACTGGCTCTTAAGACTGGATTAAATTAAACACCCCACCCTCACTGCTTTTGCTTACAAAAAATGATATGTCTTTATTAATTGATTATTTTTTTCCAAGTTGCCCGTGTTCTTCTGAAAAAGACATGAGTGAAAATTGTCCTAAATACAGAAATTTTTCTCCAGTGGAGCAGATGCCTAACATGAAGAGTTCAGTTAACCTGCTTGTTATATAACAGTATAACCTGGATGAGTTGTATTGAAATTTATTGTCACTGAATTTATGGCATTCTGTTCCCTCCTAAAGTAGGCCACTTGCAGACTTTTAATACTCCTAATACAGCCTCCTGTCCAGGAAAAAAATACGAGGCCTTGGTGTGCCTTGCTTGGTTTCTGGTGTAGTTACACCATACATCCTTCTGGCATGTGTCTCATGCAAGCAGAAAGGAAAGGGGGTTTTGCTAATACAGGGTATGCTAGTTCCTTTAGCAAATGCACTGCAAAAAGATTTTTGCTAGTGTAGCTGCATTTGATTTGAGCAAAAAGCAGGTGTGCTGACCTATATAACTTCATCAACAATGCATTTCATTGTAGACCACATCTAACGGGCAGCTAGCCTATTGATACCATACATTGTATACTATCAGTATATATTAGTATATTGATAATAATTAGGAGGGCTTGGCTGTTAAACTTACTCTAGTAGCAGTGACTTTTTTTATTCCTCAATAATATGTTGTACTTCTTAGGTGTTGCCTTGACATCATTTTTATTAACTTTTTTTTGTAAACCAGGCTTCTGAAGTTTCATTCTGAAAAAGAAAACCAAATGAGTTTTCAAGTAGCTTCTATAATTGAAAGTAAAAATCACTTTTATTTGGCAAAGAGTAGATATCGAAGTCTAAAAAGTGCTCAGGAGTCCTTGTTATGTGACATAGACCCAGTCTCTTCCTGGCTTAAGAGGTTCCTAAACTGCTGATTGACAAGGATTGTTAAGAGTATACCAAGAGGAGAAACCCACTGAACAAGTTTTACTTTGTAGTCTTTATTCATATAAAATGTTAAGATGAAAATATATATTTATTTATAGTAATGTACCATTTTGTATAATAGATAAAGTATATTTTATATCATCGTGATTAAATCTTCACTCATTTTTTTTTTAATTTTGTATTCAGTTTTATTTGCATGTTAACTCTAGAAAGCTACATACACAGTTGTGATGAGAAGACATTTTTGCACAATTCGGGAAAATAATTCACCTATATTGCAAGCCTATGCATTCCATACCTTTCTCTTTCCACTTCATAAGCTACAGCGTCCTCTTTAATAAAGTATATGGAAACTTTTTAATAGCTTTGTATTGGGAAATGCAACCCAAAATTTTATGTTAACCTATGGGTACATGTGTTATTTTTGTTACTATAATTTTATGTAGGCACAGGCATAAGAGGGACGTGGAAAAAAATATTTTGCAAAATACAGACATTCTCTAAGTGCTTGTTCTCTATGAGTGTTAAAGTAAAAATACTAAATCCAATTTCATGATGTTACAGGTGTGGAAATAAATGCACCATAGCAGGGCAGGGAGAGGGGGCAGGTCTTCCTTTCAGGTTACTGTTTTCTAAGAAAGGGACTATTGAACTGGTCCTTTTCTTAAACTAGTGCCATAATGCTTCTGGCTTTAAAAATGCTTTGTGTCTTAAAATTATGTTTGTATGTATTGCACACACTCAAGTAGAGAACTTACTGCATTGCATCAACAGAAGGGTCTGTATTATATGTGATAGGTAATAAAAATAGCATTCATTTCTAACCCTGAATATTCAATAACTGACTATCTTACAATAAAATAAAGCAGAAGTATAATTTTGAAACTCTAGCTTGCTCATGTGTCATGGGCTAAGAGAAGGATTATAAAATGACAATTGAAATGACAAATGATTTGTTGTGAAACATGTTTTCTGTGGTTGTAGAAATGAGATGTGATTCCTAGTTGTCATATATATGTGATGTTAATAAATGTGATTTCTTTCACAAATTAACTTCACTTTTTCCCATTTCCCTTACTAGCTTTTGCATGCGATGAACACTTCTGCTGCCTTATAGACAACCAAGAGCAGGGAGAATGGAACCAAGAGGAGGCAGAGAGATGAGGGAAAGAAATATGGAAATTTCAAGCAGGAACAAGAAGGGGAATGGTAGGAAAAACCAAGAGAAGAACAAGTAGGGAAAAGAAGATTTGGAGGAGAAATACAGCATCAATATTGGAAGGAGAAAGAAGACAGGAGAAAAGGGAGAAAGGAAGTAAGAATAGTAGTGGCTATCATTCCAGAATCTAACAATATGGTGGGGTTTTGTGGGTTGGTTGTTTTGGGGTTTTTTGAGTGATGCTAAATACAACTATTTACTTAAAATATTAGCAATAGGATATATTCTGTTTCTGATAGTTTTGTGACAATGTAGGTTTGGGGGTGATGAAGTGTTACATGTTCTTCACCTTAGTGCACAACACAGTAAGTACAGTCCATGTCCCTTCCTTCGAAAAGATGAAGAAACGCTGTTTTGAAAACTGTAAAGGCTCCTGTAAATAACCCTTGCAGTGAAAAGGGAAGGGAGTCTCTTTGTTTCTGGCTGCTTGGGTCGGAAGTGATCACAGCCCTCTAATGACCAAAGAGTTGTGGGGACATGTCATGAATTGTGCAGCATTCATGGATGTCAGGTACTGATTTTCTACACTGATGTCTTGACCCTCAGTAGATTCTTAAACCATAGCAGTACTCATTCTGTAATAATTCATCTAAGCAGTGTTTACTGCCTTGACACCTCTTTCAAGAGTGGCATGTGGGTAGATTGATTTCCTGTACTCACTGCATAGTGAAAAGTAGCACTGAAGTCAGTAGTTATTAACACGCAGAAATTTTGTGCTGCCAGAAGTTGTGTCAGTTCTCCCATAGCTTTTTGTGTCACTCCGTACACGTGATAGGGACTGTCTGTTCTTGCTGTACTGTGCACCTAAAATTTGAGTCTGGAAAGTGACTGGATGCAGGGCCTGAGTTGCATCAAGTTGTACGTGTATTGCAGATAGAGTGGTCGAATGCTATCAAACTTCCATTCAGTAGCCAAAAGCAGAAGAATTCATTCTGGATCCATCATGAGTTTAGGGTGTTAGCACAGGAACATAAAAAGTGACATGCTGGTGAAATTTCATGGTCACAGACTGCCAGAATGTCTAGTTTACAGAACGTGCTGTTGAACAAGATAAAACAAGCCACTCCTCTGCTCACTCTATCAGTGCTTGGAACAAGGCTGTCAGACTCACTGCTCCATGGCACTGAATTTCAGTTTTGCTTTCTGATAACTGCAGTAAACATTTGTTGTACTTCTGTATGTGCTGTATATATGGAAGAGGGAAAAGAGAATTGGCAGAACATAGATGATGCCTTTCAGTGGCTCAGGTGTACCCATGAGGCAGGAGATTGTGGTGTTTTGCTCCAGACTTAAGTAAGTTGCATGATTTTTCTTAGCCACCTACGTTGACGTGACTGAGCCATAAATCCAGTTCGCTTCGTACTGTTACATACTCGTGTCTTACAATGGTTGCCAACTCATTATCCAGAAAAAAAGTTATGTTCAAGAGGAAGTTATGGTGTTGACAGTTGTAGATGGAGCATGCTGTATGACTGATCTCCCCTTTCAACTCTGCATAAGAAGTAACAATGACTCCCGTTACAGATACCCGAGTCAGAGAAGCTTCTTAGGACAGTTTCTGAGAATTCTTTTCTGATAGCCAGAGTTTTACATTCCTGACATGCAGGATGATGTTGCTGAGCAGAAGCTCCCATCTGTGTGGATGATCTGCTGTGTATCTGACTGTGTTCCATTTAAACTCTATCTCCTGTACTGAGTTATTTGACAGC